AATTATATAGTATGACACTAGTAAATTACTCACGCGTTGCGTGAATGTAATATGTCCAACTCTCAATTTTAATGAGTGTGTATTTCTTTTGTGAAGTGTTAATTTTATTTTCTATATATCATAACATATAATAAGTATTACTTTTCAAAAACAATGAGATGTAGTTCAATCGGACGTTCTTACAGTAAAATATAAATAATTATAAAGTAATTGATGAGGTATCAATATTATAAATGTGGTAGTATATATTTAAATAAACAAATTTAATGCGAGTTCAGAAGCCTCAGTAAAGTTAGGAAAACATCAATGCAGTTTTGAAAAGAAAAGGTAAAAAAAACCTCTTGAAGTTTGAACATTGGTGCTCAATGAAGTTATTTAGTTAAGGACCAGTTGTTTGATACAAAAATAGAGGTTTCCTTAAATGTAACTGTAAACAGAGGAGTTTTAGACAACATTAGCTTTTTTAGATAACATTAGCTTACACACAGATCTTGTGTAAGCTTACAATGTGTCAAATGGTAAACCAAATTACCAATTAATTTCTATAAGCATAAGCATTTTTTATATTCTTTTGCGCTTTTGATTGTCAAATGATCCAAGGCTCTAATATAAATATGCACCATAAATATATGCTTTAAAAAAATATAAAATATGCAACAAAAAATGCATGAAGAAAAAACATACAGCAAAAACACAATAAAAACGTAGTACTTGAAGGCAAATGTAATGAAAGAGCACTAACATATTGTCAAACACCTAGTGTGCTTTTAGTTTGCTTTCATATGATCTTGTGTGGACCATATAATCACAATTCTCAAGTTTTAAGTAACGTAATTTATATAGCAAAAAACTACAACACTCGAAGACAAGTGCAATCAAAAAGCCTTGACATATTATCAAAGCATGTAGTGTGCTTTTAGTTTTCTTTCCTGTGAACATGTATACACCATGAACTTCTATCCTACAATGACTTTACTTGGAAACGCCATGTAAGCACCTACCAACTAACTACTTTTTGCTGAATTCATGTTGAAAAAAACACAAAAAATGCAGGGAAAAAGGACACACTTCGATGAGATAAAAACACACAAAGAAATAATTGAAGATCTCATACGTAAAGAACAAACATGACATTACTTTTAATAACAAGGAATAACATCTAAGGAAGAAATTAAAAAAATGTAATACATAGCTCATTAAGCAAAGGAAATGGTGCAAGGAAGAATGTTTATCAACGACCGTGAGAAGGGGGTAAATGGAAGTCGAAACCTCATTATATACTGAAAGCTTAAGATCCAGATACACGAAAAATTAATTTTCAACCTATTGGTGAGAGACCCTACATCTTCTTGAACGGATGGAGATGAGGGGTTCATGAAGTGAGTTGGGGAAAATTAAGAGCTTGTATAGCTGAAGAGCTGGGAAAGATACTCCGTAGATGACAATTGATATACTTGGATTGACGGTGTGAAAAAAATTCAACGTCGTCATATAAATTGAAGAACTGTAATCCAATGGAACACTCAAGTAGCACAAGGTACTACACCTTATAGCCTAACATGAAGAAGCAATGAGCATTTAATAATGAAAAGTGGCCTTTTATTAAGATATGTTAAGATAATATACGTTTAACAGTATAGAATATATAATAATGTGAACACATTTATACGATATATTTTCCTTGGGTTACATTTTGTTAGTATAAATTCTTCAATCTTGATAAATGAACCGATTCCTGAAATATGAAAATTGGCTGATGTTAATTAGTTATTTAATGAAGGGTTCCTATGTAAAATTTAAATAAGAGAATAGTTTTTTTTAATTAAGAGACTACGTTTTTTAAAATCCTTACTCTTAATCCGGCACTCTAACGTGGATACTCCTGTTCTGTTTAGTGTACTACGTACACTCCTGAAACTCTGTTTAGAGGAATTAGTGCTATTCTGTTTAGTGTACTTCGTACACTCCTGAAATGTTTTTTAGAGCATTATTACTCTCATGTTAAGGATCGGATCTCTTCGGTGATCTCGTCCTTTCTGTTCAGCTAGCTTCTGTTAGGGATTGGTACGTGTAGCTCCAGCGATTACGTTTCCACATCCTTTCTGGGTAATGTGGACACGGACTTCATGATCGTATTCCTTACAATTAGTATTTCTCGATCTAGGTCCAGATTCTTGAGTTCAAGGCTAAATGAATCTGTTTTATTAATGATAAATCTCAGAATAAGAATTATCTAATAATTATGATCTCTGGATGTGTTTCCGTTCTGTACACAAAAATAATAATAATCTCAGAATAAAAATTATTCGATATTTAGGATATCTGAATGTGTTTTTGTTCTATTTATTTATATTTGTATCTTTATACAGCTGCTCGGTTCACTCAAGTATGTTATATATTTGTCTGATTACATGTGAATTATGATATGTTGATACATGCTTTAATATGTTATTATTGTTATGTTATTACTGTACCACTCAGCACATTGCTGAGCGGGTAGTCTTGTCTTTTTCCTACTCGTAGGTTAAGCACGGAATCCGCTAGGAGCACTGGGATGGAAGGAGGCGTAGGACTAATGCATGTCATTGTGTTTGATGTTTTTAATTAAGACTTTAAAATGTCATCTTTAACTTTTAAGAACTTCCGTTGTTGCTAAAAATTTATGTGATGTTTACGTTATGTTTGTTTTAATAACACTCCACTCATTGTGAGTTTGACATTTTCGGGAATTAAATAATGAAGTTATTTTGGAATTAATACGCTTTATTTTAAGTACTGAAATCTCTTGTTATGAATTAAAAGTTTTAAGTGAAAAAAAACATGGCTGATTTTCCTGAATTACTAAAAATAGTTAATGTACGTACGGGTGTGGGTGGTAGGAAGAGCAAAGTAGTAATCCCCGAGACGATTGGATTTTCTTATAGTGAGTGGAAAGGAAAAGGTTCCATTAGCAGACCCAAAGTAAATCAGTTTCGATTTTTCCGCCAAGTGACGCGCCGCCGGGTCGGCGGCGTCAGACCGGGTGGGGCGTTACAAAATATACTACCTCCGTTCCCATTTTAACTTCCAAATGGGTTTGGCACAAAGTTTAAGACAGTGGATATTGTGTGGTGGAGAGTTGTGCAGAGGAGAGAGAAATGTGTAAGAAATGTTGTGAACCACAAATTCTTTACCAAAAAGGGGAAATGGAAGTTTTAATTGGAACGGACGAAAAAAGAAAGTTGGAAGTTTATTTAGGAACGGAGGGAGTATTTACTTTTGCCCTATAAATTACAAAATTAGCTTATACTTCTTCATCGAATTGAACAGTTTAAACGTCATACCAAAAATCATGAAAATTTTATTGGTTGATACATTTTTTTACTTTGTGCAACTTTTCGAGATTGGTTATTTATTTGAATAAGTATATTTTTAATATAGTACTAGTAAAGTAGTTGTTTTCAAAGTTTTACATGTGCAATATTAGTGTCATACTACGTACTCCCTCCGTCCCAAAAAATACTTCTCGGTTTGACTTGACACGTTTATTAAGAAAGTGGCAATAAGATAGAAATGTATGGTTGTGATTGAGTAAGAAAAAGGTAAATGAATGTTAGCCACGAAAAACTTTCCAAAAAGGGAATAGGGATCAGAGAATTTTTTGGGATATCCCAGAATGGTAAGAGATGAAATTTTTATGGGGCAGAGGGAGTACGAAATATCATTATCTTTTTTTAGTAGTTTGATATGTTTCTTGTGAAAATTTGAACACAAATGAAAGAGTTATAACATTTTATAAATTAGAGTTACATTAGTATAGGCTTCACACTCCATTTTCAGGATCACTACTGCATTAGGTAGCTGTTAAACGTTTCTTGTGCTATCTTTGTGGAACTTCATTTTTCTGGGTTGAACTAATATTGATTGAATCCCTTTTACCGGAACTTCAATTTCAGCTTCCTCACAAGCTTGTTATTTATTATGATTATTTGGGTGTCCAAGATGATTCTTTACGTGTTACTCATGTTTCTTCTAATAATTAGCTAGTCGATCACCTTGCGGACCGCCCATCTTGTGTGGAACATAATAGATTGATAATATTAAATGTACATAGGTATACATAGCTAGGTAGATATACATAGTTTGTTCATCCGTTTAAAAGTTTACTATTTATTCTCTTTCTTATCTTTATCTCCAATCGTGTGGTGTATATCTCTTGTATATGTAAGCAGGGATGGAGACAGGGGCTGGTGGTGGCCACGGCCTCTGCAAGAAAAAAATTGTGATGTATAAATATATATGTATAAATATTTATCAGTAGTAAAAAATATAGTGAAAATTTAAGTTTTGACCAATGATATATAAATTTCTTAAACCCCGGCCTCTGTAACCTGTCAATCCTGGCTTCGACACTGTATGTAAGCCATTGTATATGGCTTGGTTAATGTAAGTTTTATCACTTTATTCAATCATGCTGCTTTTCAACCTTAAAATCTTAGAGTCATCTTATGTGGAGAGGGTGTCAATACATTGGAGGTGAAGTCGTGAAGATCGATGTATTTACTCCTGGTTCGGACTAGCGAGCGGCGAAGAGGGCCGTTGTCTTTTCTGTGACTCCTATATCCACCATCAATGATGTTGCGTGCTTTTGTTTAACAATTAAATCATGAAAAAGTGATTATGCAAACGAATTTTCCGTACATGAACTTTAGAATTATTTCTAGCATCGAATACGTTTAGTGGAAATTCAATTATTATGACCAATGATGGAGTCACCATATGTTGGAGATGTTCGCATTAACATTCAAAGTTCTGAAAAACATTTAATTATGTGTAAATTTAATGTAGTTATATATTATTCTTTGAAGTTTTAATAGAAGAAAAAAGTTGGAACTCCCAAAACTCAATTATTAAAGAGGTCTGTAAACTGCTGTGAATACTGTGAATCTGTGATCATCCCCCTGTGTGCTTATGTTTACAGAACAGACGGATACTGGGACACATTGAACACTAACAAAAAACGGACATTGCAGAATGACTGATTCCATTATTATAAAAAAACATAACTTATCTTTTCATATACATAAATTTACAAGAATGATTTACTGCGAATCAGTAAAAAACATAGGCTATTCATCTTTGAATCTAGCACATTTGGAGCTTTATTTGGCCCTATTCCCAACAGTTTTTATGTGAATAGTCAATGACGATGCCTTTTAAATTAAAAAAAAATGTTTGTAGTAACTAATTTGCAGTAATCAAGTAAAACAAAAGATGGTGTCTTGAAGTTTCTAGGCGTTCCCAATTTCCCATAGCAGAAGAGGTGAGCTAAGGTGTCTTGATTTAAAATCCAGGGGAAGAGAATGGTGCTGGAATGACTTCTTGTTTTAGCCTATAATGTTCCATCATAATCAGTAAATCAGCCCAACTCATGACAATAGGAGATACATTTTCAAGAAACCCTTTACCATCTAAATTGAGATGAATCTTAAATTCGAATGAAATTCAAATCAAGGACATCCCTAACCCAATCCAGTAACAAGCACACAAACATCCATAGAGAATTTCATTGTTTGAAATAATCAAAAGAAAGAGCAACACTGTAGTGACATGTTTGAAATTCAACAGACAAGATAAACACACAAACAAACAGAGATAACAACAGTGAGCCTCTTCTCACCTCTAGTACTCCTCTCCCTCATCCCCTTCATCTTCATCCTCTCCTTCAGCCCCAACCTCCTCATAGTCCTTCTCTAGAGCAGCCAGATCCTCACGTGCCTCACTGAACTCACCCTCCTCCATACCCTCACCAACATACCAATGCACAAACGCACGCTTGCAATACATGAGATCAAACTTGTGGTCAATGCGGGAGAACACCTCAGCAACACTGGTGGAGTTGGAGATCATACACACAGCCCTCTGCACCTTGGCCAGGTCTCCTCCAGGAACAACAGTTGGTGGCTGGTAGTTAATACCACACTTGAATCCAGTAGGGCACCAGTCAACAAACTGAATGGTGCGCTTGGTCTTGATGGTGGCAACAGCAGCATTCACATCCTTAGGAACAACATCACCACGAAACATGAGACAGCAAGCCATGTACTTTCCATGGCGAGGATCACACTTGACCATCATGGATGATGGTTCAAAGGCACTGTTGGTTATCTCAGCAACAGAGAGTTGCTCATGGTAGGCCTTCTCAGCTGAAATCACAGGGGCATAAGAGGAAAGCATGAAATGGATCCTTGGGTATGGAACAAGATTGGTCTGGAACTCATTCACATCAACATTCAAGGCTCCATCAAATCGAAGTGAGGCCGTGAGGGAGGAGATAACCTGTGAAATGAGACGGTTCAAGTTTGTGTAGGTAGGGCGCTCAATATCAAGGGAGCGACGGCAGATATCATAAATGGCCTCATTGTCAAGGAGAATGGCAACATCAGTATGCTCGAGAAGAGAGTGTGTGGAGAGGACACTGTTGTAAGGCTCAACCACTGAAGTGGAGACCTGGGGTGAAGGATAAATGGTAAAACCAAGTTTGGATTTCTTGCCATAGTCAACAGAGAGACGCTCAAGCAGAAGAGATCCAAGTCCTGAACCCGTGCCTCCACCTACTGCATTGAAAACCAGGAATCCTTGGAGACCAGTGCAGTTATCAGCAAGCTTGCGGATGCGATCCAGGCAGAGGTCAACAATCTCTTTCCCAACTGACCACCAAATCAAAAATAAAATTAGATCATCAGAATCTTGAAACGTTTCAAACATAGTATATATCACATGTGACCTTTGGAAGAAGAAAATAGTGATGGAAGTTACTTACTGGTATAATGACCACGGGCAAAGTTGTTGGCAGCATCCTCCTTACCGCTAATCAGCTGCTCAGGGTGGAAGAGTTGTCTGTAGGTTCCAGTCCTAACTTCATCGATGACAGTCGGCTCAAGATCTACAAATACAGCACGAGGGACATGCTTGCCAGCTCCGGTTTCACTGAAGAAGGTGTTGAATGCGTCATCACCTCCTCCAATTGTCTTGTCACCAGGCATATTGCCATCGGGCTAGGAAAGATAAAAAGAAAAAAGAATTCAGCGCCTATCAGAAGTTATACCATGTATCAAATAAAAATGAAGCTTTCAACCAAATCTTAATACATGGCACCATAAAACTTAAGCAGGCACATTCATATATAATGATTACAACCAAACACAAACTGAAAAAGGGTAAATATTCATAAAAATAAGCACATTTAAATTCATATACAATATCCTAACATATCTGTAGATCATAACGCTTCAAACAAATATTCTTGGTGGCATTGACACATAACCATATGGATTTAAAACATAAACAGAAACACGACGTGGAAAAGCATCATGTGTATAGCATTGATCTCGACATCGTTCACATTAAGGCGGAAAACATTATCAAAATCGTATACAATATCCTAACATATCTGTAGATCATAACGCTTCAAACAAATTCTCTTGGTGGCATTGACAAATAACCATATGGATTTAAGCATGTTAACATAAACACGACGTAGCAAACCAATAAACTTCATACGTATAGCATAAATCTTGACATTATTCACATTAAGGCGAAAAATATTTTAAGTAATACTAACATGCTTCAGATCTGTGTAGAAAAATTAGATCCATTACGAAATACGTTCAGATATATCGAAACTGAATGTCATTCGTGCAGATCTAATAGAATAGACGGTTATCTCAGACCCATAGATGAAGATCTGCTTAAAACCGAACAAATACGCATCCATTCACACAGATCCAAACGGTTAAGAGACGTTCAAGCATAATCGATCCAATGTCAATACCTGAATACCATGCTCGAGGCAGTAGAGTTCCCAGCAAGCATTTCCGACCTGGATACCAGCTTGACCGATGTGGATTGAAATGCACTCTCTCATTCTCGAGATTTGTTGAGATCGAAAAGCAGGCTATTAAAAATTGCAGAAAAAATGGAAGGAAATGCGAGACAAACTAAGATCGGCGTTTATCAAGACGCCTCTCTAATTACAGATGAACAACTCGGCCGGCCTCACGGGATTTATATATACGAAAAAAAGGGCAAATGAAACCCATCCCGCTTCGTGCAGGCGAATTGACCGTGGTTAGTTAACCGCGGTTTCCTGTGACAGCTAATATAGCAGTTGTGTTTTTTTACTCCGCTGTATGTTTTTCTAAATACCGGATAAATCGCTGGTCTTGAGTTACTTGACCAACTTGGGTTAGATCTATCCGGCCGATTCAAATTTTGAATTCCTTAGATAAATTATTACTCCCTCCGTCCCCTTTTAAATGTTCCGGAAGAGGGTGGCACGAGTTTTAAGAAAAGTAGGTTTGTGTGGTTGATAATAATAGATAAAGTAAGAATAAAGTAAGAATAAAGTAAGAATGATTTTGAGCCACATAAACTTTACCAAATAAGGTATGGGACAATTAAATAGGGACATCCCAATATGGTAAAATGGGACATTTAAAAGGGGACGGAGGGAGTACTCCCTAATTAAGTCATACTCATAGTCAATGTTAGAAAAAATTCACCTCTTCATCTGACTATTATACCACTTCCACATTTCATTTCTTATTTTCAGATTGTCCACATTTAGTCCGTAACCATTATCTCATCACCACCCCTCGTCCTTCCGGCCAAAATTCCGACAAATTTAATGCATATTTTAGGTATGAAAAACCAAATTTAATGCAAAGAATGATATGAAAAGTCCAACCTTATATAAAATTTAATGAAAGTGTGAGTAGGTATTGGTCCACCTCACTAGCCCTTGGTCCATCTCATTTAATGGACTGTCTGCTATTTATTGCCTCCTGGCCCGTTTGGGCTGTCCGCCTGACTTAGCCCACATGCTCCCTTTTGTCTTTGCCCAAGCCCATGTCTTTGTGGCCCTTACCTTATATTGTCCCGTTCCTTCTGGAATCCCCTATTTGATCGTCCCCTTCCTCTCTCATTCCGATGAGAAGTCTTTCCGGTTACCCCAGTTCTAGAGTGAGAGAGTGCCGGTATCATCTAGGGTTTGAGCTCCGGCTACCCTCCGGTGATACCTTTGGGATCCTTCTGTGGGCTTCACTCTGTGCTGGTAGTCTTGGGGGGGTTCTTCTCCGGTGGGTTTTCTCTGGGCAGTCTGGTCTGGGAGGGTTGGGCACTAAACTGAGCGTTTGAGACTAGATGCCCTCTGGTTTCCCTTGTTGACTCTTTGGTGGTGAATGGTGAGCTAGCCCTTGGGCTATGGTGATTGAGGTCTGAGCCGGTCAAGTAACTCTACAGTGGTATCAGAGCTGGAAGCTGCCTCTTCTCACCGACGCCGGAGACTCACCGGAAGTACTTCCCCAAACTGGTAACGCCTAGGCTCCTCCTCGGATTGGTAAGTCGGGAAGTCTGATCTAGACTCCCGCTCAGGTATATCAGCTTAAACCCTATCTTGGGCTGTCGGAGTGCCACCGGCTTCTGTGATGCATGGGTAGTTCTGAAACCCTAGGTTGAGGAACTGCCAGTTAGAAACCCTAGTTTTAAACCGTTGCATGTGTAGATTTTGTCTAAGACAGGTCTGCATAAACCCTAGGTTGTTGAACTAGTGCATGGGTGGTGCTAATCTGTGTCGAACTTAGCCCACAGTTGCCTGTAATATTATCTGAGCACCTTTGTGTTTTCTACTGTTTTGTCGGTCCTCTGTTGTTGTTATTGTTATCTGTTTCCAGTATATTTTTCGTTACCTGTGTTGATAATTTCTGATCCATTGTAATAATGTGGCTGTGAAACCCTAGTTGGCTAAGGCACCTGAGGTTAGGGCTAGGGGATTCCCTGCCAGCCACCTCTGTGGCCCCGGATCTGCGTGGTCCCTTAGTCCGCAGTCTAACCTTCTAGGGCTAGGCTTCTGCATTACATTTGGCTCATTAATTGTGTGTGCTTGACTGTTATCATGGCTTCAAACCAGTATGGTATGATGCCTTTTAATGGTAAGACTGACTTTGATATTTGGAAACAAAAATTAAAATGTGTGTTAATACAACAGAAAGTTCATAGAGATATTACTGGGCAATACTTAGAAACTGAGGAAAAACCTAAACAAGTTGAAATGAATGAAATAGCCTACTCAACCATATATTTAAACTTGTCTGACTATGTCCTTAGAAAGGTTGGAGTCATTGAGTCTGCTAAAGACCTCTGGGATAAACTTGAGTCTCTATATACTGATACTTCCCTTCCTGGCAAACTGTTTTTGTTGGAAAAGTTTTTTAGGTTTAGATTTGACCTAACAAAAGATATTGATGAAAACCTAGATGTTTTTAACAAACTAATCCAAAACATTAAGCAGGTTGGGGATAAACATATAGATGACTACACTGCCATAGTCTTATTGAATGCTATACCTGATTCCTATAATGATGTTAAGTCTGCCATTAAATATGGGAGGGATGACATAACCCTTGATATTGTTATTAATGGCCTGAGAAGTAAAGAACTTGACTTAAAACATTCTAGGAACCATCATAGGGAATCTGGGGAAGCTTTGGTTGTTAGGGGAAGGTCTAAAAGCAGGTCTAAACACCCTAAAAAGGACAATCAGGATAAGAATGGTAGACAACCTAGCAAGAAAAGGCATAAGTCTAAGAAAAGGGTGTGCTATAACTGTGGGAACCCAGATCATTTCATAAAAGACTGTACCCAACCCAAAAGAAATGAACAGGCCAACTCTGTGACTAATAAGGAAATTAGTGAAGAAGTGTTCATGGTCTGTGATCAGGCTAATTCTGTCCTAAGCAACCTAACTGAACTTGAATGGTTAATAGATTCAGGTTGTACCTACCACATGACTCCTTTTAAAAATCTGTTTGCTTCTTATAGTGCTTGTGATTCTGGTTATGTGTCCCTAGCTGACAATAAGAAATGTAAGGTCCATGGTGTGGGTGACATAAGTCTTAAGTTTGAAAATGGAACTGTTTTCAAATTAAAAAATGTTAGACATGTCCCTGATCTTAGGCACAACCTGCTTTCTGTTTCTGTTTTTGAAGAATGTGGTCTTGAGGGTAAATGGGGAAATGGGTGTATGAAGATTTTGAAAAACTCCCTTGTTTTGTTTAAAGCTTTGTAACAAAATAACCTTTATGTTGTGCATGCCAAACCTTTTTCTGAAAATGCTAATGTTGTACTTAGTGACAAGTCTGTGCTTTGGCACCAAAGACTGGGTCACATGAGTAATAGAGGATTAAATATTTTGAAACAAACTGGATGTTTTGGTAATGACTTGGTGTCACCTATACCTTTCTGTGAGGGTTGTGTCCTAGGTAAACAACATAGGGTTCACTCTCCTGTTTCTAGCTATCCTAGTGAACCTAAGTCCAAAGCTGTCCTTGACTACATACATGCAGATGTATGGGGTCCTTCCAGTGTCCCTACCCATGGGGGTAGGAGGTATTTTCTGTCCATAATTGATGACTTTTCTAGAAAAGTCTGGGTCTGTTTGTTAGAACATAAATCTGATGTGTATGTTAGGTTTAAAGAATGGAAAATTATGGTAGAAAATCAAACTGGATGTAGGGTTAAAACCCTTAGAACTGACAATGGATTAGAATTCTGCAATAAGGATATGGATAGGTTGTGTATTGAGAGTGGGATTAGGAGACACAAAACTGTGCCCTATACTCTCCAACAGAATGGCTTGGCTGAGAGAATGAATAGGACCCTCCTAGACAAGGTTAGGAGTATGCTTGCCACTTCTGGCCTCCCCAAGAAGTTTTGGGGAGAAGCTGTCAACACTGCCACCTACCTGATAAACAGATCCCCCTCTGTACCTTTAGAAGGTAAGTGTCCTGAGTCTGTCTTCTCTAAGAAACCCCTGGACTTGTCAAACTTAAAAGTGTTTGGGTGTGCTGCCTATGTACATCAACAGACTGATAAGTTGGACCCTAGGTCTAAGAAATGCATTTCCTTAGGATATCCTGAAGGTGTTAAAGGATATAGGATCTGGGATAGAAACCAGAGTGGTTTTAAGGTCATTATAAGCAGAAATGTTGTGTTCAATGAAAGTGATTTTCCCTGCTTAGTTAAAAATGTGACTGACCCTCAAACTGTGCATGATGGCACCTCTCCTAGTGAGGTGGAGCCTATCCAGACCACTGCTGCCCCTCTGTTAAATGAGTCTATTACTCCTGATTTGACCAACACTATGCATGACACCCACTCCACCTCCAATGAGGTGGAGCAGCCCAGTGGTAATGATGAAAATTTGCATGATGTGATTGTTCAATCTGATTTTGCTGATAATGAAGAACTTGGAGAGATTCAAGTTGAGAATGAAAGTCTAGATGATTATGTGTTACCCAGAGATAGGACTAGAAGAAACATTAAGAAGATTTCTGATAGCATGACTGACTATGCATTTCACCTGTATGATACTTCATTATTTGCTTTCTCTGTTTTTGAAACTCTTGAGTTGAATGAGCCTAAAACCTACCAGGAAGCCCTTGCCTCTAGAGAATCTAAAAATTGGCTATGTGCTATGCAAAGTGAGATAGATTCTCTTAAGTTGAATAAAACCTGGACCCTAGTTCCTAGGACTCCTAATTGTTCTGTTGTTGAGTGCAAATGGCTTTTCAAAGTTAAAGAAGAACCAAATGACATTAGGTTTAAAGCTAGGTTAGTGGCTAAAGGTTTCACTCAAAAGGAAGGGGTAGACTATGCTGAAATTTTTGCTCCCATAGTAAAATTCACAACAATTAGGATGATGCTTGCCCTAGTTGCCCATAATGACTGGGAGATGAAGCAGATGGATGTTACCACTGCTTTCCTGCATGGTGAGCTAGATAAACAGATTTTCATGAGCCAACCTGAGGGTTTTGTTGACCCTAAGTACCCTAGACATGTCTGTCTACTTAGGAAGGCCCTCTATGGCCTGAAACAGTCTCCCAGACAATGGAATATCAAGTTTGATCAGTGTATGTCTTCCCTAAGCTTCAAAAGGTCTGATTCTGATCCTTGTTTGTATTTTAAGAATACTGCATCTGTACCTGTGTTCTTGTTGATCTATGTTGATGACATGCTTATCATTAGCCCCTCTGTGAATGCTATTAAGATAGTTCAAAAGTGCCTTTGTGAAAACTTTGCTATGAAAGACCTTGGAGATGCTAAGAGAATCCTAGGGATTAATATACTTAGGGATAGGAGTAAGTGTACCCTAACCCTGAACCAAACCTC